TAAACTGCAGGCCTGTGAGCCACGCTCTCTGAGTTCTCAGCAGAAACTTTATGCAGATCAAGAAAGAAGAGAGCTTGTGTGCAGGTCCGTCTCTCAGTGAAGGGACAGCAGGCTGACGTTCTACCGGCTAAGTTCTCAGTTCATGCCATTCCTGCCTCTGCTTCTCAGCCTGTGCCTGGGGCCTGGAAGTCACACTGCTTTGGAGGCATACCAGCTTTATGTATCCAGCCTCTGCCTTTGTGGAAAATGTGCTCCAGGAAATGGTCCCCCAGGGAGTTGAGATCAAATGAGATGAGGTCAGAGATTTTTGCATTGGGTGCTGTAGTCCTCTCTGGCTGCGCCTGTGCAAGTCACATGGCCTTCTGTTGTCTGGATTGTGAGTGGAGGAGCTGGAGGACATCAGGGTTTGTAGACTCACCTGCTTGCTACCATGCAGGTACGACAATGGCAGGAACGCGCTCTGTCCACCAGGGGGCGCTGCCACTCAGCGCCAAAAGGTCCATGTCTAAGGAACTCCAGAACTCAACTCCAAAGGGACCAGCAGTGCTCACCTCCTGTTTACTGTGTACTTCGTGCCTGCAAAGTGGCGGGTGAAGCAGCCGCCACCACTCTGTGCTGGATGTGTGAATGCAGGTCAGGGGTGCTAGTTCTGCCTCGTGTCCTGGACAAGCTGGAATCTGGATTGCTACTGGCGTTTCAGTACTGGGAAGGAGCTCCAATGCGGCTTCCAAGCACCATGCTGTCCTAAGTAAGCACGGGCGCAGGCGGGTCCTGCTGGCTGACCGACGCGCAGGTGTCTGAAGCACACTGCTCTCCCGGAAACCTCTGCGCGCAGAGCTCTGATCCAGGGTCTCCCCTGAGGTCCCGGTGGCCCTGCTTCTCAGACTGTCACAGGCTCCGGGAGGTCTAGCTTTCTCCTATTCTGGGATCTTCATAGTTCTCCCTGAGGACTAGCCCATTCTCTGCAGATGAGGGGTTGTCTCTTTGCCTCCAGCACATGTCTTGGGGTCTGGTCCCTGCACCTCTTGTTCCTGCCTGTGACACTGACGCTGGCCGTGGGCTCCGCTTTCCCCAGGATCCTGCCACGCCCTGGTCACTGGGCTGCACAGCCCATCCCCCACCGACCGTGCTGCTCCCTGATGTCCTTTGCTCAGAGTGGCTCTCCATCCGCGGGCTCCACGCAGACTCCTGCTCTTGCGGCGTCGTTCTCCCCCGCTGGCACTGCCCTCCCAGAGTCTTTCCTCCCGTCTCCCTTACCTGCACGGGTGCCACTCAGGCCCTCACCTCCTGCCACAGTTGGATCTGATGTGGCCCCGAGGACGATATGTGAGGGGCTTGGTGCTGGGCCCCAGTGCTGTTGGGAGGTGCAGCCTGCTGGACGGAAGTGAGGTCACTGTGCTCTGCCTTCAAGGGGTATGGGGACCCTTGTCCCTTCCTGTCCCCTGTGCTTCCTGACTGCCGTCAGTGAGCACATCTCCTCCACCACGTCTCCACCCCTGATGTCCTGTGCTGCCGCAGGCCCAAAGCAGCAGGGCCCAGTGACCTTGGACAGAAAGCTCTCAGACTGTGAGTGAAAGTCAGCCATTTCTTTACTGCCTGTGTATCTCAGGTGCTTGTTACAGCAGCGGAAAGGGACTAACGCGCTCCTCTGCTCATTCCCCCCCATGTCATCTCACCCGCAGCCTGATCAGGATGTCCAACCCCTTGCACCATGGGCTTCATATGGCAAAATCCAGCTCTGGAGCAACTGCCAGCCCCCGGGCCTGCTCTGCAGGAAGCCTCTGGGGCACAGCTGGAGGAAATTCACAGAACTGATTCTCAGTTCTAGCTTCGGCGAGCCCCAGGACACCGTCACACTTCCCTGGTGAGCGCTCTGCCGCTGGTCACCGTGCCCCCGCTCCAGCCCCCAGCTGTCCATTACGGGCTCGTTCTTCACCTTTCTCCCTCACCTCCCCCGATGTATGCACCTGCCCGGCCCTGTGTCCCGCTGGCCCCTGTGTCTGGAATGCACCTGTCCCCATTTTCTTGGCCAGCTGCCACTTCTTAGAGTTGGGTCGTACATCACCTCCTCTGGAAGGCTGTCAGCCTGTCCCCCTGGCCACCCACATGGGGCCCCTTCCTGTGCGCACATCCCCTTCTGTCACCTGTCTGTGACTCTCTTCTACCAATGGACCCCGTGCCATGAGCTCCTTGAAGACAGACACTTGGGGCTCCCTGGGCACCCGGAGAGAAGGAAGGTGTCCTCCAGCCAGTGTTCTACAGGAACGCTCTCCCCTGCTTTGCTCTGAGCAGCACAGGGCCCTTCAGCCGTGGGTTCTGGGCACCTGCATCCCTCCCTCGCTCCCCAGGCCAGGCTTCTACCCTTTGCTGAGACTCCTCCACAGCTGTGCCCTTCGCAACGCCTCTCTGCCCCGAGCGCTCCATGCTGGGCCTGCGGGCCAGCTTGTGCGGACTCTCAGTGCTTCCTCACCACTACTTGGAAGGATGTGAGCTCCTTGGGCATAGGGTCTCTGGCTGTCCGCCTCTTATTCCTGGTAGTCAGCCTTGAAAGTTCTAGCCCAGTGGAAGTGTAATAGAGGCCCTTACTGCACGTGGATAGTAATTTCCTGTGCAACTATAACAAATGAGCACACATTAATAACGTAAAATAACACAAAATTTATTTTCTTACAGTTGTAGAGATCAGGGTTCAAGTCAGGCTGTCTGCAGGGCTGGTGGTTCCCTGAAGCACCGGGGAGAATCAGGTGCCCTGCCTTTTCCTGCCACTAGAGGACGCATGAAAACCGTGACTCCTAGCCACTTGTGTCTCTCAGACCCAGGCTTCTGTCCTCCTGTCTCTGACTCTGTCCTTCCTGCTGCCTTCCGATAAAGATCCTTCTGATCTTATTGGTCCCCAGACAACCCAGGATCGCTTCTCATTTGGAAGTCTGTAAAGTCCTCATTACCCCACAGAGTGCATTCACAGGCTCCCGGACCAGGTCCTGGGTATCTTTAGCAGCTATTATTTAGCCTCCTACAGTAGTCTTTATGATGTCAGAAAGAAGCAACAGGATGCTGGGCTTCCTGTGGCACTGCTGTTTTAACTCCTCCAGAAGAGCTGGAGGATTTCTTTCCTGTGGGACCAGGACATGGGAGTGCGACTTCTAGGGGTGCATTGCTTATAAAGCGCCCAGATCTTGGTCCTGAAGGGACGGCCCACAAAGACATAAATCACTGGGTTCACGCAGCTGTTGGTGAAAGCAAAGAAGTTGGCCAGCTGCAGGCCCAGGTCGGTGACCTCCTCCCAGAAGCAGCCCTGGATGGCGCGCACATGGAACAGGAACTCCAGAAAGGCGAAGAAGTGGTAGGGGGCCCAGCACACCAGGAAGGCAGCCACGAGTGTGAAGATCAGCGCCGTGGTCCTGCTGCCCTTGGGGCCTCCACACTGGCTCCTGCTCACCTCTTCCCGCCCTCGCAGGGAGGCCAGGATGTGGTAGTTGAAGAAGCAGATGGCAGCCAGTGGGAGCAGGAAGCCCAGAACGTTTAACTCCACCATCCTCGCAAAGTGCCAGGCCTCGTGGGGAAACAGCAGGATGCAGGCGGAGATGTTCAGATCGGGGATGGCTTCAACGGATCGCAGCAGGAACGTGGGGGTGCTCAAGAGGCCCCCTGTCACCCAGATGAGCAGACAGATGGCCCGGGCGTGCCACCGCCGCCGGCGCCCCCAGCTGCCCATGGGGTGCACCAGCACCCTATATCTGTCCTGACTGATGGCCACCACCAGGAAGATGCTGATGAACAGATGGGCTTTGATGACCCCGTTGATGACACTGCAGAGGACGGCTCCAAAGGGCCAGTTGAATCTGCTCCAGATGTTCTCTGCCCAGAAGGGCAGACCCGAGACAAACACGAGGTCAGAAGCCGCCAGATTAACCAGGTAGATTTCTGCCACCTTCAGCCTCTGCCTGGGCAGCAAGAGGAGGGACAGGACCAAGATGTTTCCCAGGAGGCCGAAGGCACAGATGGTGAGGATGAACATCGGCAGCGCTCTGTAGAGCACGTCCCAGGCTTCAGGAACAGCATCACAGGACGTGGTGTTGGGACTGGGCCGCTGGCTCTGGTTGGACAGCTGGAGCTCTAGGAGGGCCTGGAATGCCATCCACAGTGACCTGCAGTGACAAATGTAGAGGATAACACAGAGGTGGCAATCTCTGGCTCTCGCTCCAAGTCCAGGCTGTTTTAACCAATATTTTCGTACTACACTGACAGTATTTACCATCTGGTTCTCTAGAGCAGTGATGGTGAACCTTTTAGAGCTTTCAGTGATGATGAACAGCCGGCTGTGGCACGCAGGTCATCGGTCTGCCACCACTGCTCTGCAGGAAGCTTTCACCGGCCTCTTATTTCAGGGAAGGGACCAGGGCTTTGACGCCTGAGTTTAAGTGCAGGTGCGATCACTTGGTGTGGGCTTTTCAGACTGACTGCCTTTTCCGTTCCTTTCTAAGTTGGAGCTCATTTTCCGCCCCATGAGGAATTGTCATTAGGGTTTTCAGCAATATCTATGGCTGCTTAGCGTGGTGCTTGGTATAGACAGGAAGAACTCAGCAGAAGGTGGTGGATAGTCTTATTAAGAACCATGTTGCTATTGTCATTTGAGTTTAAGAAACATTTAATGACACATACTCTGTGCCAGCGTTTTATAAGATAATACTCGGGATGGCAGCCTCCGCTCGTGGTGATCAGCGTCCCAGTGGGCAGCAGACAGAGAGATGTGGCTGAGAGCTGCTGAGGGAGCCGTCACCAGCGGCTGTGCCAGTGGGGTGCTTGGGGTGGGAGGAAGGTGGAGAGTTTCCAGAACAAGAATATCCTTTTTCTTGGCTTGAAACCCTCGAGCGCTAGAACAACAATGAACCCTCATGAAACGATGCGTGTTGCAGGCACGGTGCTGAGTGATTCATGTGTCTGCATGTCCTCATTTAATCTTCCTAGCTGCCCCGGGAGGTGGGGGCTGTTGTCATCCCCCTCTGACCCACCCCCGCACTGGGCACTGAGATGCTCATCGTTTGTGTGATATGTGAGATCACACTGCTGGTCAGTCGTGGAGCCTGGGTTCAAATCTGGGGCACAGATGTCTGTCTGTTCTGCTCACTTGTGACGCTGCGTGGGGATGAGGGAGCCGGGCGGAGGGAAGTCACCCAAGCACCCAAAGGTCCTGGCTGGTGAGTGGCAGTGCCAGCTGTGACCCTCAGTCCGCACTGACCCCCAGGCCACATTCACAGCTACACAATGCCCGCATCCTGCCTCCTTTACACACAGGGTTAGACCCACAGGTTTCCATGGAGAGCGCTAGGACAGGAAGAGGCCCCACCCCTTCCTGAGTGTGACCACGCCTCCCAGCCTCCGTGCCCCTGAGGGACAAACAGGACTGTGAGTGTGTAGCTGCCAGCAGACAGGGCCGCAGCCAACTCAGGAGACCGAGGCATTAGGTGGGGTGACGGCTGCACAGTGAGATCGCCAGGTCTGGGGTTCAAGGACAAGATCCAAGGGTCCATCACTGGCAGCTGTGGTCAAACACAAGGATGACACTGAAGGCCAAAAGCTGGGTGAAGTCACCAAGGGAGAGGGCAGTCAGGGAAGATGACTGACAGCTGCTGGGCAGGAAGGAAGGGGAACAGCCTGGCAGCGGAGGTCACGCAGTTCTGAGCCCGAGCACAGCAGGGCTCTGCGTGCTCTCCTGACAGTGGCCTGGTCCTTCACGGCTGCTCACAACTCTACAGCTCTATTTCATTGTCTGGCAGGCCTTTCACAGGTTGTAACAACTCTTCCCACAATGACAGATTAAAACCCAAATGTTCAATGAAAGCTTCCATTTTTCAAAGAAGTTAATGTTAAATGTATAACTTGCACAAAACCTTTGCACCCCAGCCCCTTGAGAGCTGCGGGGAGGTGGGGCCAGTAGCATATAGGCTCCCTAAGGTGTCTGTGTCCTTATCTGGTTTCTAGAAGGCCCAGATGGGCGGCGTGTCATAGGATAGTGCTTAGGAGGAGGCAGAGGTGGAGGCAGGATTTGGGGTGAGAGAGATATATGAAAAGCTGCCCCCTCTGGCTTGAGAATGGAAGCAGGGCCACAAACTGAGGGTGCTGGAGGCCTCTAGGAGCTGGGTAAGTTAGGAGCAGCATCTCCCTGGAGCTTTCAGAAGGAGCCAGCCCTGGGCTGAGAATATAGCTCAGTGGCACAGCACAAGGTCCTGAGTTCAAAAACAAACAAACAAAAAAAAAAAAAATAGAAGGAACCAGCCCTGGTGTCACCTTGACTTTCACCTTGGCCTCTTGCACTGTGTCGTTCAGTGCACCCCATGTGTGGTAATTCCTTACAGCAGCTGGGGGACACTCGCATCTGTCCCAGGAACTCAGGGACTGCAGCGTGACCCCGGCCAAGCCAGCAGGCTCTGCTCCAGCCCCATCTGCGGGGCCTGAGCGCGGCCGTAACCCGTGTGACGGGGTCATCTTCACGAGCTGCTGCCTGTGGCGGTGAAGTCAGCCAGAGTTGGGAATCCACTCTCATCACTTTCTAGTCTTAGTGCTGAGACTGACCTGACACGTAGCAGGTGCTCAAACCGCAGTCATCCGCATTATCAGTAATAATATTTGGTTCTCTAAAAACTTAGAGGAGACAGCGGAAACATGTAGTAAAGATGAAAAATTTGTCATTTCTACGTTCTATTTTCTGAATTCTGCACATTTTATCCCTGACACTGCGGCTTAGGAAAGAACATGGTTTTCTCCAACACATCAGCTCTCTTCAGATGAACTCCAGTTTCAACAGTCAGCAGATGAGGAAGGCATTTGAAATACAGACACAGAAGATGAAAGAGGCAGCCTGGTCAGGTGAGAAGGTGGTACTTTGAAACCATACCTAACCCGAGGAGTTACTGGCCTACAAACTCTTGTGAGCCATCCTGGAGAGACTAAGCGGATTTTTGTACATGAGAATTTATAGATTGTAATGGATGACCATCCACTCCAGGGCCCTGGTGATTTTATTCAACACTGACAGATTGATTTGGCTATGCTATAAAAAAGCACTTCCCAAGCCCTTCCAAACACTCCCCCCCCCCCCGATCCTCCTGTCCTACAAAACAGTATAAGCCCACACTAGGCATGGAATGCAATCTCTTACGTTCTAAGTACAATTATCCTCGTTCAACCTGTGTACTAAAGAATAAACGTTCTGCCAATATATAGGTATAAAAGGAAGCTTTCTATTTATTCTCCACCAAGAGACATTAAGTCCTTTTCTATTCTACTTTCCTGGGAGAAAGAAAGGGCAGTCATTTACTTACGCAGACAGAATTAGCAGAGCTTAGGGCTTCCTCTGGGTTTTGGCCAGTGACAGCTTCTTCGTGGCTTTCTGTTCTGGCTGCCCTGTGCACACACAGCAGCCTTAAATAAAACCACCTCCGCTCCGGGAGGTCATGGGGCTGCCCAGACGACAGTCTTTCAAGACAGAGGAGGCCAGTGGTGTTGGGAGGAACAGAGGCCCTCCTCTCCCTGCGTGATGTGAGGGCAGGCAGAGGTTACTCAGCGCCTCTCTGCTGTGTAACCGCTGGGAGGCCTGCAGTGCTGCCTCGCAGCAGGCCTGTAACTGGCAAGCAGGCTCCGAGACCCTGTTTTGGCTTCCTGACTCCTGGGCAGGCACACAGCCTCAGCCTGCACTGAGCGGTGACTTCCCCACTTACAGCTGGCCCCTGAAGGCTGAGGATTCGGGGGGAGCTTGTGTGGAGCTAAACTTCACATCTACTCATGTATGCTGGTCATGCAAGGTGCACAGCCAAGAACCCAAGCGTGAGGACTCCGCGGTGCAAACCGCGAGCTCAGAACAACTTTGACTCACACAGCGCTCGGTGCTGGGCAGGGTTGGATGTACGCCCCGGCAGCTCTGAGTTTGGATTTCGTGTAAGTGGGCTTCTATATGCTGAACCGCTCTGGCCCTCACGTTTCACAAACTGACAAAGTCCTGGCTTACTTTGAAAGTCAGGGAGCAGATATTATAAACAAAGCCACAGAGGCTACGGCTCTGTCCATTCCTGAAACAGCTGTGTCCAGAGGCCCACACTGTGTGGGGAAGCAGCCAGGCCAGGATTCCAGGCTGCCATTCTGGCTCCTGGAGAGGCAGCCCCTAGACATCTGGAACACAGGGCTCCCTCTCCCTTCAGAGTTGGGCTTTTCTTTACATTTCTGCCTCTTGTGACTGACGCCTCAGTGGAACTAACTGCACTTCCAATTTTCCAACAGTTTTGTCCCATTGCTGGAGATCTAAAATTTGCAGAAGAGAAGAGGAGCAAAAGGAAGAGGAGGAGAAAGAGAAAAATAAGAACAAGAAAGGAAGGAGGAAGAGGAGGATGAGGAGAGGAAGAGAGGAAGAGTGAAGGAGAGGAGTCGGGGAGGGATCCAAGCCCCAGCAGAAGATGCACGTCTGGGGAGGAACTGGCATTTGACTTTTGGGGAAAGTCCCTTCCTATCAGGGGACTCCTGCAGTGAGACAGCTTTAGTCACGCAGCTGTTATGATGTTCTGCTGTTCTGGTTGGGTTTTAACCAGAGAAAGTGCTAGTTCCAGCCTCTCCTACCACTGTGATGTGGTTGGATCAGGGCGGTCAGCAGTCCACTGCCCCTCTCTCACTGGATTAAGAGGCCTGACTCCTGTGAAAGTGGTGATGCACGGAAGGTGCTCAGGGAAGACTTGCTGAACACATCCATAGCCCTGTGTGTGTACTTGAACGTCATGCTGGGAAACATACTGTGAACCCTTTGTGGGTACCAGGCCCAGACTGCACCAGGGGTACGGGATGACAAAGCCTCCTCCTGCCCCGAGGTTGCTGGCAATGATGAGTGTGGGATGCTGCGTGGCAGTAGGGGGCTGAGGCAGTGTCCAGTATGAAGATGGAAGGATCAATTCTGCTGGAGGCCGAGCGTGAGGGGCAGCAGCAGATCATGGGACTTTCTAACCCCCATAGCCTCCTGAGCTAATTTTCTATCACCTACATCTCCTGTTGCTTCTATTTCTCTGGAGAAGCCTGGGAAGACTGCACGGTGGAGGGCTATTTAAGAGATAAATAGGAGTCTGGATGACAGGTAATCTTGAGAGGGTCAGAGAGACTCCATTTTCTGCTTTGAACTCCATATTAAGAGAAGCCACTTAAAATTCACTGAAGCTGTAGTTGACCCCCACTCGTCACTCCTTCCCCATGGTTAGTTATCAACCCACTTAGAGGAGAGCAGAGTCATAAAACAGGAACAGAACAAACAGGGCAAACTGGAAATTAGGCTAAAAGTTAAACTATAATGGTCACTTGGAATCTGGCTGTCTGACAACTCCTGAGAAGGTAAACTTTGTGCATTCTTGTAAGAGTCTCAGAAGTGAGGTAATGGTTACTATGGAAACCTAAAATGTATTTAAACTGAAGGTGAGACCCAGATCGAAGTGGACATCTCCTCTGGCTCTTGGTTAGAGACTGTCTGTCAGCCGGTTCAATAAAGCTTTGTTCATTCCTGCTGTTTTGGTCTCTTGTAAATGCCTTTCTCGATGAACTCACTTGCTGTATCAATCTGAGAAAGATATTGCAAGTGGAAGGACCAGCATGTGTCCTACAAGCATGCATGCATGTGCGCGTGTGCACACACACACACATACACACACACACACACACACACAACCCCACACACCAGCCCTTGTTCTTTCTATGAGAACCACTTCACCCCATCCCTTGGGCAGCCTGCAGGGACTCAGGCTTTGGTGTAAGCAAGAAGATTCAGCAGACAGTGTCAACCCCAAGGTGAGTAGTATTTAAGAGACAGGTGCAAGGAGGATGCCAGCTGCCTCAAGACTTCCTGGAATCCAGCTGGGGTCCGGGGCCAGCCTAGGAAGGTTTGTATCTTCCTACTTAGGGTGTGGCCAGCAGAGTTGCCATGGTGTTTCCAGGTGCCCAAAAGGGTAAATGCTAATGAGCACCTCCGGGCTTTTGCTCTTTCTCTGTGCAACCTGGCAGGCAGTGCCCATCAACAAAGTTCTTACTTTACTTTCCAGTCTTCCTGGGTTCCTGCTTGGGCCATGGATACAGCCAAGAATGAGGGCACAGGACCAAATTAGCTTTTCATGATGATGTTTTTCAGAGATAAAGTTGGATCCCCCTTTACAGAGCCAAGGCTGCACATCCTTATCAGCATAAATCAAGGTGCTCCTGCTCCTGCCGACTGGGCTGCTCCCAGAAGCCCCAGAGCTCTGTGCTCAGGGGCACTGGGATGGCTGACAACAACCAGACCTCTTCGCAAAGACTTGGGATCACTCTGTACCATCCCAGCCCACATGAGGGCTGCAACCACAAGACAGAAGCAGCTACAGCAGAGCAGCTCACACATCCCTGCCACTGTGGTGAGCTCTATGAAGAGCAGGGTACTGAGCTCCAGACCCTTAAGTGCTGGGAGGGCTCAAACTCAGGAATTGTGCCGAGTCCTGGATCACGAAAAGAACCCAGCTGTAGAGTAAGAGCAGCTGATACAGGCAGCAGACAGAGCATAAACAAAGTCCAGAGACTGGGTGGCTTGGGAGCTTGGGGACGGGGAGACGTGTAGACTGAGTGCTTTGGGTGAGCTGACTGGACAGCTGGAGAGGGGTGGAGGGTGGGTGGGGCAGTTCAGCCCCGGCCTAGCAGAACAGCCGAAGGCTCCTAGCTCAATGGTGCTGTAGGCTGCAGGAGGCCTCAGGGTTCAGGACCTGGGAAGGGAAAGGAAGATCAGGCAAAGGGAAAGACTGAGCAGCCTCGGGGAGGCTCTGCTGACTGTGAAGACCCTGCAGATGGGGTGAGGCTTTAAAGTTGTCTGAGTGATTCAGAGGCCTGAGCTCCCTGTCATCGCTGCAGGTGCTGGGCAAGGAGACCAGGCAGGAGCGGCCAGGGAAGAACCACAGGAGTCTGCACCAGCCAAAGCTGGGAGACCCCAAGTTACGCAAGTTGCGTGGCGGAGACATTCCTGTGGGAACTGTCAGGCCTACAATTGCAAACCTCCATGAGGAGGATGCACTGGTTGCATTTCCCAGACATTTAACCAAGATCCAGGGTCTTTTTCTTCTCAGTGAAACTTTGGCAAACTCTGCAAAAGTAAACAAAGGGGTTAAAACAGACAAAAATTAGAAGAGCCGTGTAGTTTTGTAGACGATGGTGCCGGGACTGCAAGAGAACAAACCCAGGGCCCTAAGGGGACAGGACCGCTGATGTCTGTGCTGCACTGTCAGGCTGACTGCTCCCTTCTCCCTCCAAGAAGCAGGAGAAGGAGCGCACAAACTGCCACCCCCACCAGGACACAGCCAGCTGCAGCCCGACACTGGGGGACTTCCTGGAATCACGCAGCTCGCAGTGCCTTCCGCTGATCCAGAAGGCACGGAGGAGCCTGGTCTTTAAGGGCTGACCTGGAAGTCAGGGCGGGCAGAGGTGGGACATGGACCCTCGCTGCAACACCACTGAGCAGGTGACCTGGCAGTTTTCTCTGCCACCTCTTGGAGCCTCAGCATCCTCCTCTGTAGAGCGGTCCCTTCACAGAGTCCCAGGGCCACATGAGATGGAGTGGAGAGCCAGCTAGCTTCCCGATTTCATCATCCTTTCGCTGTTGCACAAGAAGGTGTCACCCAGGAGCCCACACAGCTGTCCTTCACTTGGTCTGGGCTGCAGAGGAAGCGGATGGCTGCTGCTGGCACCTTGGAGCGTGACTCAATGTGAAATACTGAGGAGGCTCAGCAGGCTCAGAACCCATCTTTGGCCACATTTCAGGGGTGTTGATAAACAACCTCCCACCAGATAAAGCAGTGTCTGGGTCATTTAGGAGCTGGAAGCGGAGCTCCTGGTCTCTTTCTGACCTGGTTTGAGGTGTCCTGACTCAGCCTGGCCTAGGGTGAAAAGAGACACGAGGAGGCCCAGGTCCAGGCTCTGCAGAGCACTGGTTTGGTCCTGGTGCCACCAGGCCTGTGGTGCTTGCTCTGGGCCCCGGGCCGACCCCAGTGTGCTGTGTGACACTGAGGAAGGCCTGACGGCCTCTGCTTGGAAAAAGACCCTAAAGTTATGTAGGTTGGCATATCCTGTTCTTTTGGAAGCCTTGCCTTCCCAGCTATCCAGGAAGCCAGAGCCCAGAGTGGGGGTGTCCTGGGGCTCCAAGGGAGAAGTCACCCCTTGCCTCACCTGGCCTCAGGTGGCTCTGAGTGTCCTTTACTTTCTCCCACAGAGCATCACACCATCTCTGCCTCCTCTTCCTCCTCCTTCTGGCTTCTCTAGGTGTCTCTGTCGTTCTTGCCCCTTCTTATAAGGACACCAGTCATTGGATTTAGAGCCCATTTTGACCCAATAAAACCTCCTTTTACATTATTTATTCCTACAGAGACCTTATTCCAAGATAAAAATTACAATTTGAAATTCCAAGGGCGCATGCCTTTTCCTGTGGAAACTTAAAATAGCTTTATCTAGCTTCATCTTTATAGCACCCAAAATTGCACTCACAGTTTGTACTGAAGGTGCACTGCTTTTGCAATGCACTTAAAGTCCAAAACCTGTAAGTGGCATCATTTTAAGCTGGGGCTGTCTGCATGCGCAAGGCCTACAAGGAGCATAGTTGTTTGCTGTGGTAAAAGCAGTCCAAGTCTCAGCCGAGATGCACTTCCTGGAAACAGCTGTGTTAAGGGCTCCTCAGTGGCGTTTGTGTCCCCCATCACACGTGTGTCCCCCATAGCAGGCAGAGCTTCTCAGCACCCTCCTTAAGAACTATATGTCTTAGCAAGTTCCTGCCTTCTCTGGCCTCAGTTCCTACCCTGGGAAGTGGAGGTCACAACCACACTCTATCCAGTGCATGGCACAGTGGGAGACATCCCGAGGGGCCTTTAGCAAAGCCCAGTCTCAGTGCAGAACCACAAACAAACTTTGAACTTTCAGCCATGGCTATTGCCCAACTCTGACCTTTGTTGCTCACCTCCCCTACCCATCCTCCAGGGCTGGAGGGAAGGGTCAGGGCTGGGGGAGGCTTTGCAGTGGGGCAGGGATTGGGTAACAGAGGCTGGGCACGGCACTGACTCATGAAGATAGCACTCAATTGGCTCCATACAGCTCAGTGCCATCATCCTGAGAATGGGCTCCCAGGGTCAGGGGCACCCGGTGTGCATCTCTGCCCTCAGGCCCCACCCCGATGGCCAGGATTGACTCAGGAGCCTGAGTGTGCTGTGAAGCGTCTGCTCCCAGCTGCTGTGGGTGGGAGGAGGCTCTGGACCTCACTCTGCCTGCCGAGAGCCCTGCTCTGGGTTCTGGCCACATGGTCTCCCAAGGGACTGAGAATTCCTTGTGTCTTGAACAAATGCTGCATCATGCCCGCATCTCACTCCCCTGGACAAGAGGTTGCTTCAGGCTCTTGGGCTCAGGATGCTCACTGAAGGGTTCAGGCCAGAGTGAAAACTCAAGGCCTCCTGGGATCTGTCCCAGCATTTGGCTCTGGTGGGGCTGGGGAGGGGAGAATGAACAGAGAAGTAGAGGCAGGGAGGAAGGGGGCCCATACACGGATGTGGAACTTAATGCCAAGAGGGGCATATTGGGTGCATCAACCCTGGTCATCGACCACTTTAGGAACACAGCACTGTCAGTCATTTCCTCTTACGATCTCAGGGCTGCCTGGTGTTCAGCACTAAGCGAGGATGGGACCACACACTATAGGAAAAGCAGCTAGATTCAAAATGTGGCTTCTACTGAACATGCACTGTTTTGGTACCATCATATAACCAGAAAATAATCTGTTGAACCACTGTCCACAAGGCCTAGGGTTTCTTAGCTTGGTTCCATGAGGCCCAGAACCCAGGGTTCTCCTGAGGCAGTGGGGCAGGGATTGGTCTCATTCCCACATCCTTCGGGATTGCCCTCATTCCGGCATCCTCATCCCTATCCCCATAACCCCAGTGAACACATGTTCGGTGCCTACTGCATACCAGGCACTGTGCTGAACGTTTGCTATAATCGTTTTGTTAATGACTATGACATAGATGGCATTTTACAGATGAGGAAAGGTAGGCTCTGAAAGGATGAAGGGGAGAGTAGAGGCCACAAGCAAATAAAGGCCAGGACAGACCTGGAAGGGGAACCACATTCTCCTGCTCCCAATGCCATCATGCCTGGCTCTGATCTTCATCTTCTGATGTTCATGGCTTCCTGTGGGTGCATCTGTGTTCGTACAGATGCACAGAGGAGACTGCCTCAGTTGCTTTTTCATCGCTGAGACAACATATCCAACACCCACAAGTTAAAGAAGGAAATGTTTATTTTAGCTCACAGTGTGTAGAGGGTTCAGTCCATAGTCAGTTGGCTCCAAGGCAGGGCAGCATGGTAAAGGAGAAACAGCCCATGGCAGGGAAGGCAGGAAGTGATGAGTTTCTTTCTCTTTTATTCTCTTTTCATGCCTATTGGTTGGTGCCACCCACACCCAAGGTGGGCCTTTCCATTATCCACTCCCCGAACTGCGTTAAACCAATCAGTGGACGAATCCAGTATCACACAGCCATGGTCCAGCCACCTCCCAAAAGCCCCACCTGTGTATGAGTACACGGGACATCTAGATACAAGCCATAACGGAGACCAAGGATTTGGAGATGGTCATGGCTGATAGGAGAGGGATCAGGAGCTGATGACAGCTGCATCTAGAAAGAAGCAGACAGATCCAGGAAGCCCTGGGGGATAGAATCTAAGGAGGTGCTGATCCACTAGAGGGGAGGGGCGGCAAAGACATTGCACAGAACAGCGGGCCCAGGTTTCTGGTACCTGCGAGTGGATGTGTGGAGCAGCAGTGCCATTTATGGACACACAGAATGCAAGTTCAATGATTCGTTAAACGCATCATGACTAATAAAATGGTCTCAAAATGGAAGGGACAGAAAGTTCTCCATTCCTGAGACTAGGCAGGCAGTGGCTTTTCATCTGGACATTGCAGTGTATTCTCCCAATTTGAAGGGAAGATCAAGTAGTAAGCGCTCAATAGATGCATATTGTATGCAGGAGTGACTGAATCACTGCCATCTCTGTGAATCTAGAATCTCATGAGGACTCCTATCTACCTGATGGAGATTCAGAAATGAGTAGTCCATGGAGGCATGTAGGATGGGAGAAACGTATAACATTTTCCTGAAATTTTACCGACTATATTTTAGAATGTATGCGTGAGTACCTAAATGTACATATTGGGTCTTTTTTCCCCACTTATAAGGGTCCAAAATTGCAAAAGTTTGGAGACCACTGACCTACATGACCTCAGAGCAAACAAGTAAATGAATCTCCCACCCCACGAGGCTTCCAGTAGCCAAGGCAATGTCCCTGAGACATAACACAGGGATTTCAGCAATTACGGCAAAGGAAAGAGCTATGTCAGAACTCCTCATCCATTCATGACGCTGTACAGAAAAGACAGGCGTGGGTGTGGCTCCCCCTTGCCTCCTGGTACGAGGGCTGCTTCCTCCTCACAAGGCCACAGCTCTTCAGTCTTTCAAGGACACACAGTTCTTGATCAAGAGATCATCACACAGCACTGGGCCCCCAACCCTCAGACCATGGGCAGCCTCCAAAGTGACCAGGAGGGGTCCGCCACAGAACTCTGACCATCGTACCCTCTGCAATGACAGGGTGCCCACGCCAAGCGCAGCCCCCTTCACTCTGAGTGCACCATCGGGGCTTTGTTTCCACACTACATGGGTCCCTCTTCTCCTGTCACTTATTTTCATTCTCCAGCCACAAGTGTGTATGTTGTCTGTTTACCGGGGCAGAGGAATGGGTGGGTGGGAGGGGGAGGAATTTGGGGGAACCTTTTTTGTGATCATATTCAGGGTAAGACTGGTCTGGATGTATGGGCTCTTTGCCACCCCAGGCCTGGGTCTAGCCTCCTAGGACAGAGCTGGCTACCGGATAATCATTTCTGGTCTCTCCTGAGCTCACTGATCCTGAGCTGCCTTGGCCCTATGTGGCTTGATATTGGAGCCTGAGCCGCACATTCTCTCCCATCTCCCCATGGGGCTTGGCACTGTGATGGCTGCAGGAGGCAGATTATTAAGATAAGTAGAAAAATAAATTAATTTCCCAAGGAGAATCAGGTTGTCCCCTCTGCCTCTGACCGACGCTGCTACGCCTTCTTGCCTTGACCCAGCCACTCTCCCCAGCCTCTACTGGGAAACAGATACCCTAGGAAGCTGCTAGGGAAGTTGCTCTCCCATCTCGTTTTCCCTGCAGGCTATTCATCCTGTGGATCCCTTGTCCGCAGAGGTTCCTCAGAGTCATGCGTGTCCTGGCCCAGCCGGCCCAGCTGGACACAGGCCTCACCCTTACCAATGAGGGGCTCAGCCTGCTGTGCAGGGAAGTTAGTCCTGGAAGTAATGCTTTGGGGTATCAGTGGGCTGCTGTCTTTGGCCTCCCTCCACTGTTTCCTACTCAAGCTTCTCTCTGGGTCACCGGGTGAAAACAGGAAACAGGTAAATCAGGCCAAGGTCCGAGTGCAGTGGTCCCATCAGAAATCTCTCCCAGCCTCAGTCTCATCACAGGCCTGACATGGGAGGGCCTCTCTGAAACGTGTATGCGCGCGTGTGTGCATTCATGTTTGTGGGGTGATGGGGAGGAGAGGCAGAGGGCCGAGTGGGATGGACTGCCTGCTCATGGTGCCGTCTTCCGCACCCATGCCGAGTCTCACCACAGAGCCATTTCCGAACCTCAGTGTCTTTTTCTGATAATTAATTTATTCCCATTCTGTGTGCAGAAGGATGCCTCACATTACATAGCACCTTTCACGTCTCAAAGTCCTTGTATGCCATTACCACATTTAACCCCCCACAACCTCATGTTACAGAGGGAAAGCTGAGGCAGAGGCGAGGGTGTTGTACACCTAGTTTTGGCTGAGTGGGGACCCGGGCTCTGTACTGGCAGCAGGGCCTAGCTTGAGCACAGTAGGACAGACAGCCTACTGGTGCCTGCCTGCCCACAGGCCTCCTCTTCCCACGGAATTTCTGAGCTCCTTCGAGATGGAGACTGAGTGATCTCTCCCCAGTGTCCGGCACTGCGTACACAGGAAGTACACAGTGAGTACCGGTGGGGTTCTTTTTTGCACAGAGAAGAGGAACCGTGGAATCCTGCCTCTGAGTTCTTAGCAGGGACCCCTCAGAGTTTAACTGAGAAATCACCCTCCAAAGTCTGAGCTGCATGGGTTAATGAACACCATGACAAATATTCTACCAGGTGCTGCACGTGCCCTTGGTCTCAGCACCAAAGTTGGGTGGCAGGTCTCCTGGAGATCTGAGCTGTCATGTCAGGGCAGGGAGGGATACCACATCCTCGGTCATTCCCATCCCCAACCCAGGTCCCCTCCACTTTTAGGAAGGAGCAGGCTGGCCCAGGAGTGGCAGCAATAAGACTAATACTGTTGTACTGAGGGAGCCCTCGACTGGGCTCTCCTCACCCCATTGTCACAGACGTGCTCATGCAACGGGGCTGGTGAGAGTCGCCTGCCTGGGATTTCCCGCAGATACCGACTCATTGCCCAAGGTCATGTGGGATGTCTTCTGCTCCTTGCTGGGCCCATGCTGAAGAGCAACTGTGCACCAGTCCTCACGCACATTCACAGCACCCCTGGTGGCACCCCCTCGCCACTACTCCTCGCCCAGTCCTGCAGTTTGTGGATCTGCCGGTCCATAGAGATGGACGTGCGCAGTGTTCCCATGGAGTTCTCCATCTGGATGGGTTCAGACACACATCCCCCTCTCCCGCACACCCTGTGGTACACCTCCCGAGACTTCTTCCGGAAGCGCTTTCCTACAATCACGTACACCAGCGGGTTGAGGCAGCTGTTGCTATAGGCCAAGTAGGAGCTGATCTGCGTAATGATGTCAATGATGTGCTCGTCCCAGCAGCTGGAGAGGATGCCAAGGCGCTTCAGTGTGTCCAGGAAGGTGCTGATTTGGAAGGGCAGCCAGCACACAACGAACAGCAGCAGCACGGCCAGGACCAGCACGGTGGCCCTCCTTTCCGTCTGGATCTCCTTGAACTTCTGCATCTCATTGTTGCGCAGCACCTGCAGGATCTGTACCGTGCAGAAGGTGATGATGCTGAGCGGTAGCAGGAAGCCCACCAGGTTCAGGAGGACATTGGTGAGCACCTCCCAGGTAAGGGATGGGTAGCTGATGAGGCATACAGTGACGTTGTAGCCCTCGTCGTTGTACTCCCTCATGGTCCGGAACACCAGCATGGGCGTGCTCAGAAGCAGCGTGCAGCCCCAGATCACCAGGCTGTAGAGTTTGGCCCAGCGCACCCCACGCATTCGGCCCATGGACATGGTCTTCACCAGGGCCAGGTAGCGGTCGATGCTCACCAGCATCAGGAAGCAAATGCTGCTGTACAGGTTCATGTAGATCATGGTGTTCACCACTCGGCACAGGACCTCCCCAAAGAGCCAGTCAAAGTTGTTGGCAATGGTGATGGCCCAGAAGGGCAGCCCGCAGGCCAAGATGAGGTCGGCCAACGCCAAGTTCCCCAGGTAGATCTCTGCCACTGTGCAGCTGCTCTTGTGCAGGCAGAAGACACTAAGGACGAAGATGTTCTCGAGCATGGTCAGCACGAACAGGACCCACAAGAAGGGGGCCTGGATGGCGTTGAGCCAGCTCCACCACTCGGTGTCAGGGCAGCTGCTGTCCTGGGCAAAGGTTCCGTTCAAAGCAGATGCTTGCGAGGTGATGTTGAACATTGCAGTGCTGAAAGAAAGTGGAAAAGAGGCTGTTACACCTGGAAGTCACAGCTGGAATGCATGATGAAGAGGGAGGCGGGGCCTGGGAGCCACAGGGCCTTCCTGGGTTCAAGTTCTGGTTCCCTTGCTTATTACCTGGGTTAAGTTCTCTGAACCTCACTGGAGTAACCAGAAAAATGAGAACAACAAATCTACTTTTTAAAATGATGGTGGAGATGCAAGGCAGTGTGCAGGAAGCCCCGAGCTCTGCATTTGGTTCAATAAATATGAGGATTCATTTACTTTTGCTGCAAATTAAAACAACCAAAGTCAGACTTTAGCACCACAGTTGGCGGGTTCTGGCTTCTGCACCTGTGATCTCGTCATTAAGCACTGCTCCTCCTTCCCTCTCAGGCGAGACTCAGAACAGGCGATTAGGCCACTTTCTAGAAGGCTTTGCTCGCTGGTCTCTACCTGCAGCAAAGAGGCACAGTGCTTGGCAGATGTGGGTTTCCATTCCAGCTGTGTGGTCTTGAGCAAATCTCTTGACCTCTCTGAGTCTGAGTTTTGCTTTCTTTGCAGTAGTGTATTATTCTCCTTGACTCTCCTTCCCTGGCAGTGGCAAGGTTCAAACCAAAGCGCAGTTGTGAAGACACAAGGAAAAGCCAACAGCACACACCCGGAGGGAGGCCCACTTGGCCTGTTCCCTGTGCCCTCGGGGTTTGGGGTGAGGGGTGGCAGAGGGAAAGAGGCTCCTCTGGGAGGCTCGTGGCTGGGAAGATTTCTGGCCCAGAAGCTGAGCAACCCATTGCTGGTGGTTCTGCCCATTGCCTCTGGAGTTTCCCAGGAAAAGCCCCTCTTCCAGGCTGAGGCCTGTGATTCACTTGCTGCTCAAAGTCTGGAGAGGTTTTGGGAGCTCTGCCGGGGGAGACGATAGGGAGAGGAATCCCACGTCACTGCCCTGCTCCACAGTATATCTCAGTGTGTGGTAAGCCCAGGGTGCGGCAGTTACAGAACTGGGTAGGGCAGGCAGATGAGGTCAGAGATGACCTTGGAGGTGGGTCTTGAAGGACAAGGAACATTTGGACAAGGGGCAGAAGAAGAGGGCAGAGCAGGCAGGGAAGGATGAGTCTCGGAAGTGGGAGGTTGCTACTGGCAGGTTCTGGCAGGCAGCACTAGATGCTGGAGAGGGCAGGCGGGAGGTGCAAGCAGCAAGGCTGGAACAAAGAACAAGAGTGGGCTGCATGGGATTTTAGGGAAGGGAAGAGGGGACAGGAAGTATGCTACAGAAAGATGCTGTGTGATGCGATGGTGGAGTGATGGTTTGAGTATGCCCAACAATTCTTTGACACTCTTCCAGAGGAGGAACCTAATTCTTCTGCTAAGTGTGGGCTGGACGTAGTGACTTGCTTCTAACCAGTGGTGGCAGTGATGGTGTGTAACTTCCAAGGCTGCAGCATAAAGCGTGATGCAGCTTCCTCCTTGGCCTCTTTGGTCCCTCTGAGAAAGCCAGCCACCATGTTTGAAAGATCTGCAAGGAGCCATGAGGACAGGAATCAACTTGTGACCTTGGACGTGGAGCCTACGGTCGCAGAGAAGCCATCTGCTTTGCCTCTTCCAGCTGAGGCTGTGTATCAGTCAGGGTTTTACCGGAGAAACAGATATAACACAGGATATGCAAATTCTAAGAAATGACAAGATTGGCTTATGACGGTCAGCCAGAGAGTTGTATGAGGAAGCGTGCAGAGGCTGTCTGCACACTGAAGACCGAAGGAATCAGTCCAGGGTCTGGAGTTCGCTGCAGAGTTCCATGCAAGTCCGTACCAGGAGGCCAATGAGTCTGCAACGGAAGGCTGAAGGATCCAAAGTGGAAGCTGAAGAGTCTGCACTAGAAGCCAGGAGACCAAGTCCAAGCTGAAGGGGAAGACTGGAGCTCCTCCAAAAGGAATGGAAGTACCTCTGTCCTTCTTCATTTCCCTTTTATATTATCTAGGTGATGATCCACCCTGGGGTGGCTCCTCTACACCCTAGGGTGGATTCTCTGCACCCTAGGGTGGTTCCTCTACACCCTAGCGGCCAATTGCTGAGCCAAGTTTAGTTATGCTTCTAAACTTCTCAAGTTGACATAATCAATCAACTACTACAGGCCGAGACAAGAGATGCAGACACCAGCTGCCTCCACTTGCATTCCCAACCCACGGAAGCCGGCGAGCCTCTCTCCAGGGTTCTTTGCAGGGGATCCCTCCAGACAGTCTCCTAGTCCCACCCTTGGCCCACAGGCTGTACATACACAAAGCCCATTTCCTCAGCATTTGGCTGGTGGAGTCAGGGTCTCCCCTGGGCCCGCTCAGTAGGGACAGAAGTACCACACCACATGCTACTTGGTAATTTCTCAGCCAGTGGGCCGACAGCCTGTCTCAGAGCTGGCTCTGAGAAGCCACAGACTCGCCAGATGGCTGCCTAGTGAGTCGCAAGTTAGGAGCTATGGGGCCAGTGCCCCACAGCCCTGGTTGAGATGGCCATGTGCCTGGCTGCACCCGCTGGAGGACAAAGAGCCTATGCTGGGCCTTCCCCTGTGTCCTCCTGACTCTGCTCCTTCTTGTCTGGCTTCCCTTTCCTCTGCCAACATCTGGATCAGTCTCCAGTCCTGTTCCATCTTTAATGGGCTCTGGTTCCACTCACTGTCAGCCCCACGCGGGAGACACCCTGGCTCTGCCGCAACTTGCACGTGTGTCTGATCTTTGGGCACTGACTCCAAGGTTGAACCCTTTCCTTAATTTCAGCTGGCCCATGAACAGGCAATGTCCCTCCCCAGTCCCACAGGACAACCCACCCGGAGGGGCTGGAACATTTTAGAGTTTTTATCTTTGGGCTCAACACTCTCTGCTTCTCCACGTCTCGCTATGGTCTGATGGCCCAGCAATCTATGGAGTAAGCCACGGCTCCCTTTGACTCACCCAAGGGAGGCTGCAGTGGGCGCAGGATCTTCATGCAGAGACAGGAGCATTAGCCTCTTCCAGCTCAAAGGCATCTGGACTCAGGGTGGGATGCCAGTGAGGCTTTTCTGGTGCTGACAAAAGTGGAGAGAGAGATGGTTAGACGGCAGGTGGGGAGAGTGACACACAGCACCCTCCACTGGGGAGGGCGGTGGACCCTGCAGAGCCCTGAACACTGCACACATTTCAGACTGCTCATGTCATGCTGGGCACCAAGCACAGATACAAAATATTGAGGTCATGGCAGGCTCTACTCTCAGAAGGACCCCATAACTTTGGATTTCCAGCCTCCGGTACTGCAAGCCTCCGGTAATGCAAGCCCAAATAAATCTCTTTCCTTATACATCCCCGGTCTCTGTGTGCTGTTATAGCTACAGAAATGCACAAAGACAATCCCTGCTCACAAGGAGAACAGCCTCAGTACTGCAACTGGTCCCCCACATCTAGCCAGACTTTTACAAATTGTTGATATTTTTACTGTTCTTTCTTTTAAAATGACAAATGATCATCATTTCTCCATGTAAGTTTGGTGACATGCAGTTATAATTAAAAAATAAATTGATATTAAAAAATAATTATACAGATGACTTAGCTAAGGCAGAAACAGTGGACATGGAGGTCAGACGTGGGGTGCACAGCCCAAAAGCATTAGACGGGGACTTGAATAACACTTGGCTCAGTCTAGCAGACGCGCTCTGGAAACAGACCTTGGGCTGAGTCCCCCTCCATGGAGTGTACGATTTCACCTCATTTTTCTTAGTAAGGTGGATCAAAATATATGTCAAATAGCTAAATTTTTAAAAGTTTACTACAATTAAAGATACCTTTATAAACCCCCTTTCTAATCTTTATTTTTCCTTGTTCACTGTGGTTAGATTATTCTGGTCAGCAGGTGTTGTTTCTTCTCCCCACCTTGGACTTTGGAGTTTTAACAAAAAGCAATGTCATCTGACATCCTACCACTCCTACTCCTCCAAACAAAATCTCCCTTTAAAAAATTACTGCAGTACAGAAACATTCAAAAGTAATTATCAAAGCCTCCCAGAGTTTGATCCTTCCACACAGCTCTTCCCAGATTCCACTTCCCACCGTCTTTTGGCAGGGGTTATATACAACACACTGTGGGCACGTTCCATGTCATTCCATGCATGTCCCAATGACACCTTTAAAAACATGCATGTGTTTGTGAGTGTCATTTATGAAGCCATCCCTTTACTCCAGTCTGTTTCCATGTAATGGATCTCCCAGCGCTCCCGCCTCGCAGACACACTTCGTGCTCCCTGGGGTGCTTCCCACCTTTGCCTGAGCTCCAGCCTTCCCTGCCCATGGCCCTCCCCTGTGTCTCCCTGTGCCCTTGCCTGGCTGGTTCTCTTTCCGTGCATCCACCTGGCCAGGCTGCTCTTCCCTGGCACAAGATCTAACGCTAACCCAGGTTGCTGTGCAAGTGTTTTGTGGACGTGGCTGAAGTCCACAGTCGGCTGCCTTGCAACAGCAGGGTGACCCACCCAGAGAGGCTCCTGGTACAGGGCGCATCCCAAGAACAGGATGAGGGGGCCCAAGGGCTGGCTGTTCTGGAGGGGATGCTGTGGCTTTTGTCTCTGCAGAAAGGAAGCTCTGCGCATGCTCTGTATGGGCAGCTCAGATTTGGGTTTAAGTGGCCATGGGTAGGAGGGCTTTGTGGGTCCAGCAGCCGGGACAGCAAAGCTGGCAGTCCCAGGGCATCAGTCCAGTGAGTCGCATGGCTCTTCCTCTCCCTGGGCTCCCGTGGGTGTCAGGTCACCAGGATGATGTAATGACAAGGGTTCCCCAACATAGGGGGCAGGAGGCCCATCAGTCTCAAATTTGCTGGCCACCGCTGGCTTGGGTCTTGAGTTTGGAAGACTGGCGTGTTGCAGGGATGCTGTGGCTTCATAACTGAGACCCACCGTCACTCAGAATCCCAGCTCCAGCACTTCCTAGCTATGGTGAACCTTGGACACGCAGCTCACCTCCATGGGGCCTCAGGTTTTCTCACCTGTGGTGACTGCGGCAATAGTTGCCTCCACTTTGTGAGGTTGCCAGGAGGCTCATGATTACAAAGTGCTGAGAACCGCTTTGATTTGAACTGCTCCACACTGGTCAGTTTCCTTCCTCTCTGTATCAGGTTTCTGTAAACAATTTTATTGCAAGAAAGAGCTTTGGTGCTGACAAAAGAAATGTCCCACCGGCTCCTTCTTTTTCTTTCACAGAGGGGGAAACTGAGGCCCAGAGAGGAAAGGAAGTGCCAGCCTGGGACAGGAGCCCATGCTTTGCCTGTCTCTTGCTAGATCAGGGGTCTGATTCAGGTCAGTGAGAGCAGATGCACTTGCGTGACTAAAGATCCCTGCTTCCCATGTCTCTGAATATCCCAGCTTCCTGTTGTGAGCAGTTAAGTCCTTTATAACAAGAGGAAATAGAAATTCCTGCCAGAGAGCAAAACCCAGCACCATATGAGAAGAGGTGGAAGGCTGTGTTCCACCAAGGGGCAGCACAGGCTGGGAAGAAGAGCAGGGGTAGGTGTGTCCAGGAAGGCTGTTTCTCTGTACTTCCAACCCCCAAAGGTCCCTGATGGCCCAGTAAGTGGCCCTGGCCCTGCTGTGGTAGCAGTAGAGGGCTGATGGCCACGAGCTTCTACCACCAATAAATGTGTCCCACCCAGTCCTCTTTACAAGCAAGAGAGAGGATGACGGTAAGCAGAGAATCTCATCCAACCTCAGGAAAACAGGAATCCTTGGGGTCATGAAGCAGTTTGGGCCCAGCTGAACAGGTGAGCAAGAGGAGCTGCAGAGCACACTGAGTTGGGGGCAGGCAGAGGAGGTAGAGTCTTGTCCCTTTCTGTGCACCATAGTATCTGGGATCTAAAGCCTCCCATAACATGCTCTCAGCCCTGGAAGGATCTTTGCCCTTGCACTTTCTGGAAGTGCCCTTGCCTCATTCATTTATCCATCCATTCATATTCATTCATCTGTCCACCCATTCATTCCAACAAACTTCCCTTCCTGGGGTATTTGTCATGCTCAGTGTAAGGTACCGTGATGACTTCATGGGAAAGACAAAAAGAATCAGGACATCAAGCAACTTTAGTGCCATCCTTCAAGGATCCTTTCAAATGTCACTCCTCTGAGAAGCCTTCCTTGCCCTCTCAGCCAACAAGAGCCCTTCCCGGTCTGGGACTCTACAGTAAAGAGGTGAAAGGAACATTGCCTTGGGCCAGAGTCCTGGTGTCCAAGGGTGCCTTTGGGCACATCTCTAGGCTTTTGGTTCTTCATCAGAAGGATGAGGGGTTGAAACAGAAGGTTCTAGAGATCTTTGTAGAACCTCACCCTAAAGATGGGTAAGCAGTGGGCTCCTGATCCTGAGAAGCATGCAACCAGAGGCAAGTGGATCAGCCCACTAGGTTTTCCAAGACTTATCTCCTACCTATTGGCTCCCAAAGGCTCTCCTGGGGAGGGGCAGCAGGAGTCAGTCTGAGCCAGCTCCTCTTCACAGGCGTGGCATGCAAGGGCCTGCACCCTGCCTCCCTGCCCAGCTCCCTGCAGCCTCTGAGGGTCTGGTCCTGGCTCTGCCCCATCAGGCCTGCCCAAGTTGAAGGCTCCCCCAGCCATGTGACCTCCGTCCTCTGCCCAGCTCTGCTGTAGGAGGTGGAGCCCCTTGGAATGGAGGGGTTCTCCCTGCAGAATTCCAGATGCTGTGTTCTGCCAGTGTTAGTCCTTTTCTTGAAAGCAGTGGGAGGGGGCATGTTTCTGAGAGTGGACCTGCAGGGCAGTGGTGGGCCCAGCATCTCACACAACTGGACACAGACAGAAAGCCAGGAAAGGCTGAGCCCTGAGCTTGGGTGTTGGCCTCAGGATCAGAGAGATGTGGGGCAGATCTTGACTTTGCCTCTACTAGTTGATGACCTGGGCAAGTGACAGCCTCTTGGGGAACCCCAGCATCTGCTGCACCACCTTTGTTTACTGTGAGTACAGTGGTCGGCAGAGCCAGCACCTGCCGACAGGGCTGTCCAGGTGGTGGGTGGGACACCCCAATGTGGGGACATGGGGCACCTCCCTGGGGGTGATGGCCACACACCAGCTGGCCCTCTACCACTGCCGTATAAAGATCCACACCGGCCTCTCCACCTGGACATGCAGAGGTGGCCAGAGCACCTTCTTGCTGGGGGCGTGCATGGCAGCCCTGCGCTGGCTGAGTGGGGCCCTGGTGACCCCCAGGCTGGGGGCAAAGGCAGCATCTCCAAAGGAGATGGAACGGCCTTGCCAGTTCCCACGTTGCTGCTCCCCAGCATGGTTCTGCCAGCTCTCTCCCACTTCCTCCTTGTAGCCAGAGTGAGAAGGTAAGCTGCGCCTGAGCCCTGTCCCCTGGCTTGGCCTGAGCTGTCCAAGGGACAGATGTCACCTCCTGCTCCTTGGAGGCCCACGGTCAGGCCCTGGAGTGTGAAGACTCCTGAAAGAAACCTTTGTCAGGAAATGCTTCTGTTTCCCCTGATCTGTGGGATCAGCTGGGCTGAAGGTGGGATGGGAACCTGCTGGAGATGCCCCGGGTCCTAGGGCTCCTGCTCTCTGTCCTTTGCCCCTCAGGGACTTTTGGGATCGGCTTCTTTGGAGAGAGGAATTGGAGGTGTGGTGTGCTGGTAAATGGTTAACGACGAGCTCCCTAGGGAAAAGCCTGAATTTGTAGCATTTTCTGATTTCCACAGTGTGAATGCCTTTGCCGTGGCTGATATCAAATCTAAAGTGAAATATGGCTCTAGGCCCATCAGGCCTGGCACACTGTGTTCACAGACTCACATCCCTGCCTCTGTACTCACCTCACTCCACGCAGGTGAGCAGTCTTTCCAACTCCTATTCATCTGTCAGCTCCAGTGCACGGTGTAACGTCACCTCATCTGGTTGGCCCTCCTGGATGCTGCATGGTGTCTCAGCCCCAAAGCCCCGATTACAGCCCCAGCACACTTCATCTCAACTGCTCACTTCCCTGTCTCTCTCCCTGCCAGCCTGGTTGTGCTGGGATGGCCCCAAAGGCCTCCAGCTTCCCTTCCACTCTGTCCTTACCTCCTAGAACTGGCCTGGCCCAGACTTGGGCAATATTTGTCAAAAGGACAATGTACGATGATGACGATATTGACAGCAAGTGCATCTGTCGTGTGTCACGTGCCCACGCTGTTCTAAGCTCACAACGGACACTAACTCATTGAATCCTCACAGCAACCTGAGACAGTGTCGATGCCCCTGCTTAATAAGGAGGAAACCAGGCCTCTGCAGAGCCGGCTGGGACCTGGCTGGAGGTGCCCCGGGCTCGCACACGTGCTGCTGCCCTTGTCCTGGAAGATGCACAGGACTGAGCGCTGTCCTCTTTCAACAGATGATAAAACAGGCTCTGACAATGCTCAGGCCTTAATTGGGCAAGGATGAGGTAAGATCAGTGCTCGGGGGGCCAAAGGCAAAGCACTTTGTAAACGGTCATGTGTACCACACATGCCAGAGCTATGGAAGTTTTGAGTTGGAAGAATCTCACTGTTTAGAGACTCCTAGTCAAAACTTCACTACCAGGTGACCTGTCTGAAGCTGTGTACGAGCCCCCAGGCTGACCCCACTGCCCTGCGATGGGCGCGGCACTTTACAGTGTGTGACACAGGTGCACTGCTGTCCAGCCAGGGACCCCTAGTACCCATTTTACAGAGTATGGAGGGGAAGCTCAGTACAGAAGTGACTTGCCCCAAGTTCCAGACTCAAAAGTGGGACCCAGACGACCATGCACACAAAACCACCGGAGAGACAAAAAGAACCAAGGAAGAACCCACACGGTTTCAGTTAAGTGTCTGAAGCAGATCTGGCTTGGAGCACAGAGACTGGAGTCCAAGGGGGCTCACGAACACCTCCCGGACCCCAGGCACCTCCTCTCCCAGGAAAGAGGCCAGCCTGCCTGATGCCTGCCTGGGCTGAGGTTATAGGAGGGCGGGGGTGTGAGAGGACCCGGCTTTGACCCCACCCCTGCCTCTTCCTGATCCCAGCTTCCTCAGCAGCGAGCTGGGGATCGTGAGACTGCACACCGTCTGCTGTCCTGAGAGTGAGGTGAGCTAGCGCACTTCTATGCCCAGCCCAGGGCAGCAGGGAGTCAGCGGTCACTAGGCTTGCTCTCCTCGCACCACTATTCCTAGATCAACTGGGCTTTTCGTATGTGTGATGCCAGGGATCAAACCCGAGGCGTTGTGCACGCTAGGCTAGCGCTTACACTTGACCCCAGCCCCCGACTCCGAGCTTTATGTGTGCCTTTGAGCAGGTGGCTTTTCTCTGGCCTCAGCTTCTCCATCAGTGATTATACAGGGTGCTTTGTAAGCTCCTCTGGCTTTTCCTCTTCTCCACCCCTCCTCTGACTGTCACATTATCATCCCGGGAGCACAGAACAGGATTTGCTTCTCTGAATCCTCAGTTAGCAAAGCATAGGTGCTATCTGAGTGCTTGTTACATTGAGTGGCTCTTGGCAGTAGTGAGTTCCCTGCCACTAAAGGTATGCAACAAAACTCTGGGCAATATTTCTAGCGTATTTGAGTCAATATTCCTTAAATTATAATGCTACTTATGGCTGCCCAATCCAGTGTTGCAGCTTCTTTTATCCCTCAGTTTTTCTGACTAAAGGCATTTCTTTTGTAGGATGAAGGTATCGGAGATCAGGAGATGTGTGGGCCAGAGTTTTCCTTAGAAGGGGTTAACAGAGTGTGGCACCAGCCAATTTCCAGGGTGAAAATGAGGTGCAGGTGAAGGGGGAAATTAAAATTTTTAAGAAGCCTGTCCTGAATGACTGCCAAGACCAAGTGGACATGTCCAGCAGGCCTGATAACAGAACACTTCTCCCTTTATGTAAACTTCTGGCCTTGCCTCTTTTGTACCTGATGACCCGGCACTGTAACTTGAAATATAACAGGACACTTCTTCCTTTGTGTAACTCATGCCTGTTTAATCAATGGCCTTGTAAAGAAACTTGAGATATGTAAATCCCCTGAACAACCCAGGATGTCACCCAGCCCTCCAGTCATATGCACCAAATCTGCCTAAGTACCCGCCTGCACACTTTCCTTTTAAAAGCCCAGAAACCCAGGCAGGGCTCTGGCTCCTTCGGACAGATCCCAGTCAGAAGCCCACCCACGCGATAAACTGTCTCCTACACCTTCTCAGTGCCGTTTTCCTTGCATTTGATCTGTTTTCTGCAACACAGAAAGGGTGCTGGTTTCCAGAAGGACGCCCAGCCGTGGGGTTCTGGGTCTGGCCTGGGACCACATGAAGTCTGTACTTATTCCACCGCCCCTGGCTGCATTCCTGTGGGAGGTGGGGAGACAGAGTGTGTCATCTCTGTCTCAAATACAAGTATCCGCCACCCCACAGAGCCAGCAGAGCCGTGGCTTGACCCTGAGAGGGGACTGGCAACCTCCCCCACACCCCTGGTGCCGACTAAGTGGAAAGTTTCTGCTTTCTGAGCTGAGATGGCAGAGCTTTCTAACATGCACGAGCTTGCATACTTTCTTTGAACTTCATATTTTTGGAGCCAGAATCAAAATCCTCCAGAAGCCCTGCCCGGCCAGCCAGTGCCAGGAAGAGGGCACACCCGGCTGAGGAAGCTCTCCGTCCCATCCTGCTCCAAAGCTGTGCAGGGAAAGAAGGGGAGAAGATCTGTGTCTCTGCTTCCTGGCAGATCACTGAGCAATCTCAGCCCCACTTTTCTTATCGGTAAATGGGGTTGGTTATTGGGAGTTGCTCATCGATATTAGGGGTTACATTAATAGGAGTACGTGTCCCATAAAATGCCAGCGTCCTTGTCTCCACACACTCAGCTTTGCCTGCCTGTTTCCCCTCCCGTGGGAACCTCCAGAGCCCAGAAAATGTAAAAATGATGTGGTTTGTAAGCATCTAATGCCCGGCCGCAGACCGAAGGAGTCAGGCAGACAGGCTTCGTTGTCCTCTCTGAAAAGGGATCGGACTGACTTTGTTTCCAGTCCTGCCTCTGGAAAGTTCAATATGGGGACACTTTGACAAAGCGAATCAGGGACCTGAAAGAAACACCTCTACCTTTTTGCATGGTATTTTGGAAAATAATCAGAAGGACAGCAAATGCTTCAGGGCCAGAGACATTCTTCATCATTGAAAACAGGGACAGGAGCAACCTAAATATTCAGGATCAGGGGACTGGCTAAATGTCCAATGCTCTACCCACGCAATGCCTGGTAAGCTGGCAAGGAAAGCAGTGTTTCTACGAGTTCACCCAAGTGGGAGACTGCTGATGTCATGGCAAGTTTTAAAAACCCAAGCATTAAATTCTGTATACAACATGGCTCAAAAATCTGGAAGGCACCACAACAAATCCTTACTTGTTGCAGTTGTTTTGGGGCATGGGATCATGGGCTGTTCTGGGGTTTTCTGTAGTCTTTGTAGTGGTTTCCATGTTTCCTCTGGAAAACATCTTCTACTTTTCTAACAAAAATATTTAAGTAAACCATGTGTTTTCTTGTTTTACAAAAAGAAGAAATGAATCATGGTTTATTTCTGTAAGAAAGATGAACAGCCAATTCATGCTCAGGGAAAGCCTTTGCTTACATGAAAACTGGTAAATAAATGTGTTCTCATGTTTTCGCTTAAAATAAAATGTTTAAGTTTTCGCAGTTTGCCCTTGAATGAATCTTTTTGTGCTTTGCCACTACTCCTAAGCAGATGGGCTTGTCATCACCAGGGAAATCAAGCAGGTATGGCATCAGTAGCAGGGAGTGTGGGGAAGATGTAATTGCTCTCAGCTGGCTGTGAAGCCCACTGGTGGTCCCATAGTTCCACCCAATTCCGTGATTTGGTTCCCAGCGAGACAAAGGAAAAGGGAAGAGCTAATCCTTCCACAGCCTGTTCTCTACTCTGATTCATGTCTCTTTCAATTGAGTAAGTCTTTGCGTAATTTTTCCACAGTGGTGGCAAGAAATGGCATTTTTCTGAGCCCTCTGATGCCATTGCTCAACAGGATTGTTCAAGATTGTCAGGTGTGGTTTGCAGTGTGTCCTCTTCCCTGTGTTGGAGGCTTGATCCTCAGGGCAACAATACTGAAAGGTGGTGTGGAACACCTAGGAGGCGGGGCTTAGTGGGAGGTCTTTAGGTCATTGACACACACCCATAGAAGAGATTGCAAGACCACTGCCTCTGCCTTCCTGCTTAGTGATGTGATCTCTCCCTTGCACATGCAGTGGCACCATTACCAACCACTACGTGGTGATAGAGATAAGGGGAGTGGCCTGCAAGGGCCTGCGCCACGCTGTTTGAACTCTCAGCACCCAGAACTGTAAGCTAAACAACCTCTTTCCTTTATAAAATTGGCCTGCCTCAAGTATCTTGTTACAGGAAAGAAAAATGGACTAACACAGCATCACAACCTGTTTATCTCCAGTCCACAGATTTTCTTCTTTTGGGGTCTCCCATATTTGCTGCTGCAGAAAAGCCTAATTTTTCTTGCTTTTATGTTGGCTGCCTCCAAAACCTGTCTCCAAGGCTCTGGTCAATCTGATGTGTATAGTATTTCCTTTTTCTCTTTGTAGTTCAAAAATGCCCTCAGAATGTATTTAAGGAACCCTCATCTCATCCTTTCTTTTATTCTGTGTGGGATGCAGGGCTGCATCTCACAGGTGAGGACTTGGAAGCTGGAACCCAAACCAGATTGTGGGGTTTCCTCTCATACTCCTCTTAGGTCACCCCTATTTACCCTGTGAGGCAAACCTTCTGAATAACAGAAAATAAGCCCTGGATGGTGGAGTCACACTAGCTGGCTTTCAGATAGATCCCAGCCCTGGCACTGACTAAGGGCGTGACTTTACCTGAGTGGCCCTCCCTGAGCCTAGCTCTTCTCCTCGTAGCGTCAGGAGCATCAGCTCACAAAGGCTGTAACCAGGACCTGGCAGGATCACTGACACTGAGGGCCAAATCAGCATCAGCCCCTTTTGCTGCTCAGGCATGAAGGTTCCCTCTGCTTTTCCTGCACTTCCAGACACCACAGGGACTCACGAAAGAAATTCCTGAGGCCACTTGCAAAAAAGTCCCCAGGCTGGTATTTACCCTCCCACTGACACACATGTGCATTGCTGGGAAGATCTGGGGGTGGGGGTAGGAGGGAGGGACTAGGACCTGCTGGGGCTTCTGGGTTACTTCCCACTGTGGAGAACAGCCCAGGCTGGGGCTCAGGCTCCCCCAGCTCCCTCTTTGTTCCGTCACCTTCCTCCCCTCCATTCCTTTTCCCCTTCCCGCTCCTCCCTCTCTCCCTCTTCTTCTCCCTCCCTCTTTCTCTTTCCCCAGCAGCAGGCTGGTTTCTGCCTACCCTGCACAACCCCTGGAGTTTTTACCCTATACTCCACCTGTCTGAGCAGACAAGATGAAGTGGGCAGAGCCACCCAGGCTCAGAAGGCCACGCAGCCTCTGCTTCACCTCTAGGGACTATTTCCTCAACAGCCAAGTGGGGACATCACACCTACTTGGCAGGTTTATCAGGAGGAATGCTCGTGATCGCTTTGGGGTGCAGCGGTGCCCTGGGGGCCAGGGTGGGGCTTATATATACTTGCACCAGTACTGGGCAGCCTCCCTGACCCTTTTGACCCTACAGCATGGTCCTTGCTCCATGCAGGCATAACCTGCTCTACCTGGGTGTGGACCTTAAATTTGAAACCTGCCAGAGAGTGAGAGAGAGAGAGCTTAAGACCTACCCATAGCGACAAATCAGACATCACAGAGGTGTTACAAGCTGGTTGTGGGGATAAGCAGATGGCAGAGAAGCATGGGGTGTGTGTGTGTGTGTGTGTGTGTGTGTGTGTGTGTGTCGGGGTGGCAGCAGATAGGCTCAAGAAAGGAAAGGGTGGAAATCCTGCCATTTAGTTCCTGATTCTGGAGACTTAGGAACAAAACACTGATGTGACAGCCCCGGGGTCCTCTGGGATGGGACCTGGAGTTACAGATGCACAGCGCTGTGTTAAAGTGTCTTGGGCCCCTGCCTGGCTCTCGTGTGGGTGGAAGTCTCTGGGCTGGGGCGTCCGGAGCAGGCTCTTAGGAAGCGGTGGAAGGCGGAAGGAGTAAACCAGCTTCCCTGTCTGGGGAGTGGCGCAGGCACTTTTCCACGCAGTGCCATCTATCACCATGACAGTGGCCATTATCGTCTGCCCCAGGTGAGAAAGAAGAGCCTCAGAGAGGCCAGTGACCTGTGCTGGGTTACTCTGAAAGGCTGACCGAGCCTAATTCTGGGCTGTTGAACAACAATGCCAGACAACAGCGGGGGGAAAGAAAAAGAAGTAGAAGTACTGGCACATCCACGAGCCTGGGTTGTGGGCTTGGCTTGATGCCCAGCAATTCAGAGTTGGGGCCAAGATGGAGCAATGCTAGGGCCGGCCACAGAGAGGTAGAGGCTGTGGGCCCTCAGAGCACTTCTGGGGGTGAGGCACCTTCCGTCTGAGATCCAGGAGCTTTGGCAAACCCTGGGGGCCGGGTGAAAGGAGAGCTTCCTGAGGGCTGGTGCGTGTGGACCCCTGGGAGGCAGATCTGACCTCCTACATGCCATCCGCTTGTGGGGTGGGGCGGTGCAGGGTGCTCCTCACACTCACCTGACGGCCCACCCACCACCGTCTGCCTGCTTGAATTCTCTGGGTAGCACAGAGCACTTCCTTACATTTCTCTTCTGTTGTTCTCTCTTGAAAGAGTTGGCTTGGGTTCTCCTAAGATGGCTTACTGATATGAATGGTTTTCTTCTTCCTAATTAGTTATTTTGTTTTTGTCTTATTATTATCATTTTTTTCTATTTGGGGAGAGGGGTCATTATTCAGCACTTAGCTTTTCGGAATTAGGCATTTAATCCATTTCTTTATAATTCTTATAACCTGCTCTACCCGGACCTTGAATTTGAAACCTACCAGAGAGTTAGAGAGCTTAAGACATACCCACAGAGACAAATCAGATATCACAGAGGTTTACAAACTGGTTGTGAGGATAAGCAGATGGCAGAGGAGCAGAGTGTGTGTGTGTGTTTGTGAGGGGTGGCAGCAGACAGAGGCTGAGTTGTTTAATAATTTGAAAACTGGATTGTTTTTTTGGTACCGGGAATCAAACTCAGGACCTTGCACTTGCCAGGCAGGCACTTATACCGCTGAGCTATATCCTCAGCCCAATAATTTGAAAACTGAAGGTATGAATTATCCTCTTAATATGGTTCTGGCTGCATCCTCTAAGCTTGATAAGTAGTATTCTAGGCAAGCGTTTCCCAAACAGCTGCAATTGTGCTTTTGACAAACTTTTCGATGGAAGAATTTTGAGAAGGATATTTTCTAAAATTTTCAAGACATTTATGATGTTTGGTTTTTACATTTGCAGTTAATTTCTGTGGTGAAGTCAAGTTAGGTAGCCTGTGAGAGTTCTCAGTGTGGGGCTCTTTATTGATATTAACCTCTATGCCCTGAGGTTTTCTTTAGGGCTTAACTTCATAAATTAGTCAATTTCTGTAAACCAGATCCCTCAGGGGGTCCCATTTCTACTCTTCTACATTTTTGAAAGGTATCAGAACTGTATCTGTCTATTAGCATTAAGAGTAGAGAAATTGTTCTTCCAGGTAAGATAAAACCCTCAGCACATTCTCATAGTTCTCCTCTCTTTCCTGTCCTACTTTCAGTTTTTGTTGAAATACCATGAAAATTTTGATTCCAAGGCTAAGGAAGGAGGATCAAGCCCAGGCCGGGCAACTTATTGCCTTGGGAGATTTTGCCTAGAAAGAAAGAAAGAAAGCAAGAAAGAAGGAAAGAACTGAAAACCTGGAGGTACAGTTCAGTGTGAAGGGTCTCTATTCAATCCCCACTACCTCAAAAAATTACTTTCAGAATTTTTCCAATTTCCTTATCTCCTCTCTTCTGAGCAGCCTTTGTAAACAGTCATTAAGCTTCATAGCCACACTCTAACCAAATTGCAGGCCATAAACTCTGACTTTAATTGATTCTACAATTATTTACAAGAATTTTTTCTAAAACATATCTTCCCCTTTCTTGCAACACCAGATGCAAAAAGATCAGGCATGTTCAGGCTGTAGACTACCCCTCTTCTTGAATTATCTAGTGTGATTAATCTTCCATTTGACCAGGATGCTCATCAAGCACTATTTTTTTTTTTCTTTCTTTTTTTCAGAAAAAGAATTCCTTCCTGGAACCCAAGCCTGAGCGTGTGGCTCCTGTTCTGGGGTCTCCAGTTTTGGTGCCCGGCACAGAGCCTAGCACAGTACGTGCTCAGTGAGCACCCTTTCTCATGTAGGCCCTGAAGGACACTAGTGACCTGGCGTGTGCCTGACCTTTGCCCGTGGCCTGGGTCCTGCCCTTCCCCCTTGGCATCTTTGCTGAGCTGGCTCCTGAGTGTGGGCATGAATGCCTGAATTACTCCCTGAACTTGGTTTTCAGGCCTCTTCTCTCATGAGGGAAATTTAGGGCAGGTGGCAGATGGTGGAACTCTCAGAGGACTTTGTCTCCTTCTTATTTCCATTGTGGCTTATTTTGCTTTTTGTATTTCCATGTTTGCAAAGGGATGTGCACGCTCACAGTCAAATCTCAGAGAGTACGAAGGAGGAAGCAGTGACCAGTCAGCATTCCTCCTGGCCCGTCCAGCCCGCCACTCTCTTACCCAGGAGAAAGCCTGCTGTCCCCCCACGTCCCTCCCTTTCCAGCCATCCTTTCGTGGGCAGATGTGCCCGTGTTCACATTAATATGTGGTGGGAGCCCCCAGATACATGGTCCTCGCCTCTAAGGGGAACAAGCTGTCACCTCGCCTTATTTTTAAATAATATTTGTACATATTTCCCCGTCTTTGTGGGGTACATTATGGTGGATCAAAATATGCAAACCACATGTAATAATCAAATCCGGGCAACAAGCATTTTCATCTCTTCAAACATTAGTCATTTTAGGTGTTGGAGATCTTTGCTCTTCTAGTCACCTCGGAGCTGCCTTGTCTTGCTGAAGAAGAACCGGAAGCGATTCCTCCTCTCCTGCTCCTTACTAAACTGCTTCCTGGCACCTTGTTTTTTGCTGGCTTTCTGCTGTTCCAGAGCAGCACAGCCCCTGTGGTACCAGAGGTCTCAGGGAGTTCCCAATTTTCACCTTTTAAGTAGTTTCTGACTCTTTTATTATTTATGGCTGAGGAAACTAAGGCTCCGAAAAGCCAGATCACTTGCCTGGGTCACACAATGGGGCCAAGTGGGGTGGAACTCAGTCCCTGTCTGGGCTTCAGAAGCGGGCAGGAAAAGGAAGAGGAGAGGGGGCAGGAAGAGAAAGGGAGAAGGAAAAAGGGGGAGAAGGAGGAG